TTTTTGCTTCATCTCCCCTTTCTCTCTTGGATTTAATTGGGGTGTGAGGACATATGCGTAGGGCTTATGTAAATTATGTCATGTTGTCAGTGACTTCCTGTCCATATCTAGGCTGACTTAGGTTCCCCACAGGACCTTGGGGTCCTGCCCCACCCAGGTTTAGACCTGTGCTGATCAGAATTAAGACTATCCTGGGATTTTGGTCATCCCCCTCAAAGGGAGTCTGGGATTAGTTTTGCTATCACAGTGTGCATCCTGAGCAGGTGAGAAGGCACTCAGCACTCACCTGCATGCAACCTAACTTGGCTTTTTCCTTTGGTTGCGGTGACCACTACCAACCCTCTCTTATGTATCTCTGAATACAGGGCAGCTTGGTCGCACTCCAGTTCTGAAGTCATTACCAAGCCCTAACTGTTGGGGGACCATTTCTGCCAGCCTTGTCAGATCTTGCCTAACTGGAGGCACTCTATTGCCTTCATTCCCAAATTTTAATAAATGATTGAATGAATAAGTGCATGAGTGAATGCCATGCTACTCAGAGAACAGGACCCTTTGCACCACTTCCATTTTATTTTATTCTGTGGGTCATCTTCTGAAGAGACTGGCTTACCACCAGTCTGACAGACTGACTTTCTCATTTTGATAAGAATTGTCCTCTTAAAATTAATTTCTGTTGTTCTTTTCCCAACTTTACTTTTATCCAAACTCTGTCACTTTATTTTTCCTCACCAAAGACAGTCTCCACAGAAATCTTAGGAGAGCGAGGATAAAGACCTGGGTGAGGGGTATAGATCAAATTGTCTTGCCCCTTGATTTCAACACTAGAGACTGTAAAATTCAAGAGTCATAACACTCTGTGTGTGTGTGTGTGTGTGTGTGTGTGTGTGTGTGTGATATGGCTTGATTAAATGATTATACAGTTGGAAATGACAAAGGGAGATTCCTATTTTATAAAACGGACATTCAAGGCCAACTATGGTTATACAATTAACCTGTGGTCCTATAGGATTGTATAATTTTGAATACCAGAATTTCCCTCTATATTTGTGATTATTTTTTCTCCATACAGGCAACCCCTTCCTTGAGTCAAGGGTGGAATATAGTATTATCTGTTTAAGTATTTTCTCCATGGTAAACTCTAACATACGTGCACACATTCTCTCCCTCTCCCTCTATGAAAATTTTGTCTTATTTTAGCCCCTGAAAGTTTTTTGGAGGCACAGAGTTGAGGTTTATCCCACTCTCCCTATTCCTGATTCTGTTATAAGGGCATCAGAAGTTCTAAAATGCATGTTGTTCTGTTCCCAGAGATCTTGCAATATGAAAATTAATTTGTTTCAATTAAGTTATTTTTTTGTCCTGGCACCTTGCCTTTCTATGTAAATGTGGAGCAGTGAGAACAGTATATTTCCTTAGGAATTCTCTAATAGTTCCCATCATGTCTGTGATATTCTTCATTCTTTATTCTAATTGTTCCTTGCAAAAATCTCTCAAAGCATCTTCATTTGACACGTAAGGACACTAAGGCTTGGGTAAATTTATTGATGCATAACTAATAAATGACAAATTAGAAATTTAGAATCTAGGATTATTATCTATCCTGAAAGCTGGTGGTATGTCTTACTGAACTTAGAAAATAGTATTTTAATTTTCATATATTGCTATTTTATGGTCTACCTTGATTTTATGTCTTTATTATGCGACATAAAATGTAGGGAAAGTGGGATGGGAAGAGAGGGAGCATACTTCTCACCATCTCAACTTCCAAATCAAACCACATTATTATTTTTAGGCTAAATTAGAGCCGCATGATCGGTGCTAAGTGAGACCACTTCCATTACAAACCCAGGAGCAGTGATTACAGGTGATTGGAGAGCATTTTCATTGGCTGCTGTGTTTGGATTGCTCTTCTGTCTTAATCATAAAAGATCTGACCATTGAGTGGTGAAATTCTACTCCTAATATGAGCCGAATGCCTCTCATATTGGCATATCTTGTGAAGTGAATTAGCCATCTAATAGCTAACATGATGACATGAAGAGAAGTCAAATGTAGCATTGATTTCCCAGGAGGCTTCAAAGTAGATCAAGTAACACTAAAATAAAATTGTGAAACTAGAAAATGGTTCTCATCAGAATATTTTTCTCCCCTATAAATAAGTGGCTTCGACCAGTTCAGGAACTTCACAGGCTATGAAGACACGACAGAGTGTGGTTTCACAAAGTGCTTATAACATTTTTTATACTTGTCTGCAATAGGAGCCCAGTCATTTGAAGACTAAAAACTGATTTCACCTGAGAATTCTCCCTGATCCCTGTCTTTGCCCTTTCCATTTGAGAATGACAGAAATAACGATGATAAAACCCAACATTCTACTGCTTGGGCAATGGTTAAGCAACTTGTCCCAGAACTTGCAAAGTTCTTTCTGCTCAGATACTTCACTCACCATCTGGCTTAGGGATTCCCAATCATAAAGGTGTGGTAGGAAGAGCCACTGAAATAACTGTTAAGAATACATGCTCCTCTGTTTCCTCTGAGAGAACTTTTGCAAGACATAGGTTAGTTAGCAGAGGCCAAAGACACAGTGCTATCAAGCTATTGCCAGCCACTGCAGCATGAGTTAAATCCCTGGCCAGGGAACTGACCCACATGGCACAGCAGACCTCTCCTGTCTTACCCACTGCTCCCCTCAGCAGTGTATTTCAGTAGAACTGCCTATTCTGCTCACCACTCTCTCTGGTGAATCCTCTCACCCCCCACACCTCTGTCTTACACCCCCGTTCTTGAATGCATAAATAAATCAATCTTTAAAAAAAAAAAGAGGGCCTCCCCAGTGGCGCAGTGGTTGATCACTGGGCTGCGAAGCTGCCTGCATCCTCTGCAGTGCCAGTTTGATCCCTGGCTGCTGGCGAGGGTCCCACATGGTGCACAGACCTCTCCTGCCATGCCCGCTGCTCCCCTCAGTAGTGTACTTCATCAGTCTGCCTGCTCTGCTCTCCCCTCTGGCTCTGGTGAATTCTCTCACCCTCCCATGCTTCTGACTGAACCCAGTGCTTATATAAATAAATAAATATATCTTAAAAAAAAAAGGACATATGTTAGCACAAAGAATGCAGCATTTGATATCAGACCTGGGCTTGAATCCTAGCTGTGTATCTTCGAGTAAATCACTTCTCTTTTTCAAGTACCAGTGTCTTCATTCATATAATGGGGTCCCAAATTCTTAGTTTTATTGTTAAATATGTCGATAAGATTCTGAAGCCAGCATTGATTAAGTATTCAGTTTGTGCCAGGCATGATGCTTACCACTTTATGCATATTATCTCATTTCATCTTCCAAGAACCTCCTTTACAGGATCTTTATCCTTATGTGTGTGTGTTTAATTTGCAGATGGGAAACTGAGATTTAAAGTTGTTAAGTCCATTATCTAAAATGACCGTGATATTATGTGGTAGAACAGGATATAGATTTTCATATTCTGGCCCTGCAACTCTTACTTTCAACTATTTTGCAATTAGTTAAATATAATTATTTTACAAATGGGGGAGGAAGTTTAGAGAATTTAAGGGAAGTATAAGAAATTAGCTAACTAATAAGTGACAGAGCTATGAATTTTGAGAAGGCTGAGGCCAGCTAAGAGGTCTGGCCCCTTGGGGATCCCTAAAACTAAGTTCTTTCTCTTAGCCTCAAAATAATAGTACACCATCATGACAGACAGGAGTCTGGTGTCATTAATTGGAATGCTGAGCTTTTCAATTCGGGAAAGAAGTAGCTGCAGCCCTGAATTTCCTAAGATGTTTGGAACATCTGGTCTAAGTGCATGTTGACATCACAAGGAATAAAACCTGAAACACAACAGAAATTATTCCCTTTGCAAAACGAATGCTAAAGGGAGAAATCACAGAGTAATTCTGCCAAATTTCCCAGCAATTCTCACAAGATTGTGCATGTTAATTGCTTGTAGCTGCAGGTTAGTACTGCTATTTCCTGTGTGGCAGCTAAGTACCAAATGGCAGGACCTTCAATCACAGAATTATAGACATTAGGGGCTGAGATGCCTGCTAGGTCATTCTGCCCATTCTCCACCCACAGAGGCTGCTCCTGAAGATCAGCCTTCATGACTTTTTCCCTGAGTTGAGTCTGAAGTCACTGAGTGATGGGGCTTCTCCAGGGAAGTCATTAAAGCATTGTAGATTTAACCGTGGGGCAGTGTTTTATTTGGTTCAAACTATCATGTTATTTGCTCAGTTACATTCATTAATTCTAGGTCCCCTCTGGAATGCTTGCGTTCTAATTAGACATATCAGGTTCTTGGTTTGGTGGCTCAAGTCCATCTTTGATTTTAGGGGTGACCACAGGAAACTTCTTTCTCTTTTCCGGCTCTCAGTTTCCTTTGCTATAAAACAGAAGAGCTGGAGAGGATCATATCTAAGATTTAAGTTTCTTCCTTTTATCGTTTTTGTTTCTTTCTGTTCCTGTATTAGTTCTTTTTATTTGTTCATGCTATCTGCCTTTGCCTCCTCTTGGACTTCCCTTATACCTGTCTTGAAATGTTTAGTTCCTCTTGCTGGGACCTGTTGGCGTACTGAACTAGCTCTTACCAGCTTGGAAGAGGCATTGGTGCTTATTTCTCTGCAAACCCTGGGCAGTGGTATCTCCTTAGTAGCTTGAATTTGGCCATGGTGGGATTATTTGACTATGGGAATTCAGCAAATGTGGTAAAGTTTAACATTCAAGGTTGGCATACTACTGCTGTGCCCACTTTCTGAATAGAGCACTAGCATAAATAATCTTTTCTTAGTTAAAATAATCACAGTCAATCAAGTAATCAATAAAAGCATTCATCTTTGAAAGAGCTCACCTATATGCAGGAATTAGGGGAAAAACTCAGTGTCTGTTTGATGATAGGTTTTCAGCATTTTCTGTTTATGAGGGAAATCTTTTCTTAACCAATCCCCACAATAATTTTAAACAGTAAGCTTTTATCCCTGTTTTACAGATACAGGAACTGAGGCTGAGCAAGATTAAGTGACCTGCCTAACTCATAGAACTGGTAAGTGAAAGAAACTCCATCTGAAAGGTGAGCAGCATTTATGTTTTTGCTCCATTCAGCAAATGTCCAAGGTATAGAATGAGACCAAAAAGTTGTTGAGGTCACACAAAATCCATCCCGAATCATTGAAATGGAAATACCTCATGATACCTTAGATACAGATTCAGACAAATTTCAGATGAGTCTGAAATCTGGGATATCAGAGGCCATCATTTTACAGGTAAGTGTGAATGGAAAAGAAAATCAACTTTGGAGTCTTCATGTCCCTGTGTCTAGAATGGTCTCTTGGTCTTAATATCTTAAAATAAACTAGAGTGGTTAAGTTTTCATAATTATTCATTGCTGCTTTCAAAAATAATCTTAAGGTGATTTAGGGTGGGTGTCTTCTGCAAACTCCTCTGTAGAACTTTCTGTGGTGTTTCTCCCTGCCCTGAGGTCCAGGGTCATTTCACTGAGACTTGATAGAGCTTGAATTCTAACTCAGTATGTTTCACTCTAAATCACATGTTTTTTTCATCCATCACACTGGCCTGCTCTCCAGAGATCAGAGACCAGTGCCATTTTGCGTGCAACCTAAGCAATGTCTGCTTCCAAGATGCCCTTGTCTGCAGCCTCCTCCACACGGGTGTATTTCAGTGCTTCTCAGAATAGGATGTTCATTTGCTTCCTCCTTTTGATATAGAGATTCTCTCCCCACTGCTAATAGACAACAGAGCTGCTGGCCACAATGGGAGACCTCTAGGCAGAGCATGGATGGACTCTTCAAAGGCCTGGAGCAGGGGGAGGGCCTCCGGAACCCAGCTGCCTCACAGATGGGGCTCATTATCCACATCACTCTCCCCCACTGAAGGGAGGCCAGCAGAGAGCCACAGAAAATTAGAGGCTTGTGCTGGAGAGGCCAGATGTCGAGACAACAGGGACATCCTGTCTCCACTGGCCGGGCTGGTGGCTTTGAGTGCTTTTTGCTGCGGTGGACAGGGTGGGCTTTTGACTGCATGGGATGAAGGTCATGCAAAGAAGCGATGCTAAGGAGAAGTCAGGGGGAATGCTCATGAGACAAAGGGATTGGGCCATTTCCTTGAGTCCCACCTGGGCAGGTGTGGAACACACAGGTACTAAAGGGATCTCGCATTGGTTGGAACTTACTGTTTATACAACTGTGTTTGGACACACATCACCTTACTGATTCTGAGGGCAATCATTTGACCTAGGGGATATTTTCAATATCTGTAAATAGTAGCAGTAATACCCTAATCTTAAGGGGTGAAGGGTTTTGGTCAAGGCCTCATGGTTGTAAGTGACAGCAGTAGGACTTGAGCCATGTACTTGACCGTCAGCCTTTCTTGCTTTTGCTGTTTTGGACCAGCTGTTTTGGCATCACCTGGTAATTTGTTACCAACACAGATCCCAATCTCATTGCAGACTTATTAAATACCCAGAGATCTGAGCTTTAGCCAGCTCTCTGTGTGATTTGAATGCACACTAAGATTCGAGGACTATTGCTACACTGTGCTACTGTCCTTTGAAGCAGGGGTCTCTGGAGATTTGCTAGTCTTTTCCAGTCCCTTTCAATTAAAGCTCTAGTTTTCAGAAACAGAAAAATAGCCTTCAGGAGTCTCCTGGGCTAGGTATTGTGAGATTTGGCTGTCTTCAATGAAAACAAATCCTAGTGAAATAATTTTTCGCATGGCTCAGTCTGACTTCCTCTGGTTCAGTGGCTGCAGGTGGTGAGATGCAAAGAGGCAAGAGAGCAGAGCATGGCAAAATGCTTTTGGGAAACGCAGATCCTGTCTTGGCTTCCTAAGTTCCTCACTGAGTAGAACTCACATGCTGGCTTCTCAGCAGGCAGCAGGGATGGTGCTACAATTTGATCACAAAGAAAGCAGTCCTTTGTTATCTGTCCACCATCCAAATGCATGTTCTCCATCCTGGGCTGTAGTCAGTGAACAGCACTCATCAACCAAGGGTCTGGTTGTGATGGCCCCACTGTGATGGGCGCAGATGAAACCAAAAGGTCATGTTCTGAACGGCAACTTTCTTATAGTTGTTTTAGGCCATCCTTAAAATACCAACTCAGAGACATGGAAAGCAGCAGTCTGCATAACCAAACATGGCAAATTTGATGTTAAAAAGAATGAATCCAGAGTGTTATAATAAAAAGGTATCAAATTAGGAGACTAGAAATTTGAGTTAAAAACAGCTCAGCCAGTCCCAGGAGACTAGCTGGTATCCAAGTAATAGCCAGTACCAAATCCTGGGAGAAAACCAGTGTCTGTCACAGACACATCCTACATGCTGAGAAAGGGGAAGGTGATTTAAGGAAGATTGGCCATGAGGACTAGGAGGCCTGTGGCTGCAATCATAAGAGATGGAGTTACTGTTATGCCAGTAGCTTCCCATGGTGGTTATCAAAATAAAGGTTATTTACTCTTTTCACAAGTTGTTTTTCTCTACAGATAGAACCCATTGTAATAACAGAATGAAGGTATTGGGCTGAGAGAACTGCACTCAGCTATTCTCTGGAATTAGTGCAATTTAGCAGGAAAATAAATAAAAGGGTAACTCATCAACTCATAGGTTCACCTTTCTGTTCATTCTGAAGTCCATGTTTCAAGAAGATGTTGATAAACTGGGTGAAATCCAGAGATGGGAATGACATTCTTATGAGTCGGTGGCAGGATTTGATGATGTTTTGACTGGGGAATAAATAACTTTAAAAAGATGGGGAGCAAAATCCCCTACCTTCAAATCCTTCTGTCTGAAGGTTTTTTTGTCATTAAAAATTCTAGGAGATATCCAAGTTTGAGGGCACTTGAAAATAGATAACGTCAGCCTTCATGGTTTCAGCCCTCCAACAGCAGGCCATTTGTGCATTTTCCATAGTCCCCTGTAGTTCTCTAGTCCATGCAGTTTGCTTCATTGCATCCTACATTTGTTTCCTTCTCTGTGGCTCCCAAATTCAATCTGAGGACCAGCAGTGAAAAATGCAGGAGGCCATGTGTAACATATTACTAGTAAGAGGATCCACATGTGTAGCACACTACAATTAACTGGGATCTCACAATCAAAACCATCTAATAATGGAGCCAGACACCATGCTGGGGAAGAGCTTCTTTCCCCGGGGCTATGCAAGCAGAAATTGAAGGGAGTATATCAGTAAGGCTGTTAGCGTAAGCCCATAGTTGGTCAGGATAGCTTTCATGCTTGCTTCCTGTTCATAAATGTGCATATGATTCCACCATCACTGTTCTCCTTCATTTCATGAATACAAACCTTGAAACACCATTCCTGAAATAAACGGCAATAATGGAACTAATATATATTTTTTTCCATACCTGCTATGCATCAGTTCTGTACTTTTGTTCCCTTCATATTACCTCTCATTAGGAAAAACTTTATGTATCAGAAATCTTTGTATTACTGATGGATCTCTTAGGACAAACTTTCTCCTAGAAAAGCAGAAATGGAACCTAACTGGTCAAAAATACAAAGGCTAAATAAAAGAGCAGAAGAAATATTGAACTCCAGAAGTCATTAGTATAGATGTGAGTCAGTGTGTTTTTAGGGACCTTAGAATCAAGAGCTCGTAGTTCCATCCCCCAGTTATAGGATTTAGCTACCAATTCTCAGAATGTCTGCTTAGTGCAGGCTTCTGAGAGAAAATGATTGGTTTGTTTCATACAGTGGGATGATCTGTTTCAAGCCAAGTTCAATGAACTATAATGAGGGGTGTAAAAGTGATGCCTGTGAGTTAGCTTGGTCTTCAGTGTATGCAGATTGTGTGTGTTGGGGTATGGGAAGACCGTGGTGAGATTATCTTAGAAAAGTGAGAGTAGGGCTCATGATTGGCACTTCAAGGACAATGTGACGTTGCATAAGATCTCACAACTACAAATTCCAGAACTGACAGTCAGAACATGGTCTGTCTGGACAGAGTCACTGATCTGACTAATATACCTGGTAACCAAAGGATAACAGTGACTCTTAGAGAAGTTCATTCCTGTCTAGGTCCCAAGGGTAATGGGAAGAGGACATGAGTGCAATTACTGTAAAAAACTCAGCCTGGCATTTAGGAGTAGGACCCATCCAGGCATGCACCTTAGTTAGTACTAATACAGACAGGAGAACCCAGTGGTAAAGGTTTCATAATTCAATAGTGCTAGCTTCCAGGCTGGAATATGCCTCTTGGCAAATAGGATCTACAAAGTCTTGTTCTGAGATCTTAATAGTAGATTTTATGTTTTTATTTTATTTATTTTAAGATTTATTTATTTTTGCATACAAGAACTGGGGTACAGGCCAGAGGTGCAGGGGGTGAAAGGATTCACCAGAGACAGAGGGGGGAGCAAAATAGGCAGATCTACTGAGATACACTACTGAGGGGAGCAGTGGGTGAGACAGGAGAGGTCTGCTGTGCCATGTGGGTGGTTCCCTGGCCTGCAGGGGATTGAACTTGTGCTGCAGAGGCTGCTGATAGCTTCACAGTGCTGTGCTTAACCTCTTCCACCACCAGGGAGGCCTTTTAGTGGGAGATTTTAGAAACCTCAATGCAGTAATCTCTAAATGATGGCATTGAGTTATATTCTCTCTCAAAGCCCCTCCACAGGTCAATTTCTGATGATGGCCTAGAGCAGGGATTGGCAAACTCCATCCTAATTTTTGTAAATAAAGATTCAGTGGAACACAGCCACACTCATGCACTTACATGCTGTCTATGGCTGCTGTTGCCTTTCAACTGCAAGGCTGAGTAACCGCAGTTGAGATGTATATAATGTGCAAAGTATAAAATACCATCTGACCCTTTCCAGAGCAAGTTTGCTAACCCCCCTGGCCCAGGGGAAAGTAACATTTTTGTCTTTCTTCAGCATCCATATTTTCTTGCCAGGTTCTCACTTTCCTTTGATATTGTTCCTCGATTCCTTTTAGGAGAACTTAGAGACCAATCTCTGAACATATTCTGCCTGGGATCAGATCCCAGCTCTGTCACTCACTCGTGGTGGGAACTTGGGTATATTCCATAAATTATCTGAGCTTCAGTTTTCTTCTCTGGAAAATGAGGTTTACATAGAACTACCTCATGGTGTTCTCCTGGGATTTTAATGGGATATTCCATGGAAACTGTTTAAAAAGTGCCCCGTGGATGTTAGCTACTGTTAGGATGGCTGTTATTTTTGTCATTTATCCCTCTGGGCAAATGTCCATCTCCATGCTTCTTCATTAAAGAGTTTGGCACTTAACCACTCATAGTGCATGGTGCACTAATTGATGTGCCCCATGGCAAACAAATTATAGCACAGGAAGATGTCTGCGGAGATAGAGGGTTGGCAAAATTATACTTGTAGCACACGCCCTCTTTCCATGGAGGAAGCCAGCCATGTATCATATCCTACTTGGGTTGTGGCCTTCCAGCTAGAAGTACTAAAGAAGACTCCTGGGATGCTTCCGCCTATTCTTTCCTCACCAAGATGAAACTCAGGCAGCGCACTGAAGCCCAGATTCCCAAGACAGGGCAGCTCAGGCAGGCAATCGAGTCCCCAGGCTGCACCCCTTATGTTGATCAGCAGCAGATGTGCTCCACTGAGCAGGCTGCTCAGGATAGAATACAAATACCTCAGCCCCAGAGTTAGAGAGTGGAGCTCCACCAAAAGCAGACGTCCCTGCCCCTTGTTCTCCCCCAGCAGAGGCAGCTTCAGGCTAGAGCCCCTAAGCCTGCAATGCATCCGAACCAGCCTCTCCACCCCCTCCCCAGCCATGGGGGTCTAAGTTTCATTACATATCTCAGGAGGGGACTTCATTCTTTGTCAGTGAACATCTGGCCCAAGAGACCTTCTAATTAAAACCACAACCTAATTATTGTCACCTACTCCTTCTACTTATTGTTTATGATCTCCCTGTACCCTCTACCCAGCCCTCATTGCACACAGATTCCTTCAGGAATGGCTAGTCTCTCCTAGTTTGCTTTGTCCTTTAATGAAGCTTATGCCCCAGTTATGTTTCTCAGTGAAGTTGGAGGTCTAGGACCCTGATTACTACCAGGGTTTCCAATTGCCTATTCTCCCCCTGGCCTTTCTGAAAGGATCCATTGAGAAAGAGGTCATGATTAAAGCCTTGGAACAGGCAAAGTGTAATTGAAGCAGTGCCTGGCGCCTCTCGGCTTAACCTCCCTCCCCATAAACCACAGCCAGGCACAGCAGGCTGCAGACCCTTTCCAATATCTCAGTGAGCAAATTGAGAAGTGTGAATTGGGGGCTGGGGACATCTGAAGTCTAGGAAAGCCAAAAATGCAGGGTGCTAAGAGGAAACATCCCTGATATGTGATGAAGAGGCTTAGGAAAAGCCATGTGGAAAGATTATGTCAGGGAAGGAAGGAAGAAAGGACAGAAGGGAATAAAGGAGAGAGGAAGGAAGGAAAGATAAAAATTGTATTATCACTCTAGCATACACCAGCAGTTCAGATATGCAACTCAGACATCAAAGGGTTGTGTGGGTGTTCTCAGCAGGGTGGCATGGCATGGTAGGAGAGAAGATGACTATCTGGCCTGTGTTGGAACCCAGCTTAATACTTCCTGGCCATGCCATCTTGGTGTTGTCACTTCATTTTTAGCTCCATTTTCCTCTGAAGCTTTTCCTTGTAAGGAAGTGGTAAGAAGTCAAGAGCGCGTCCAGTGTCTAATACAAAGGCTGTGCATAAAACCCCTCACTTGTCATTGTCTTTTTCTTCTTTTGTTAAGCCCTAGCAGAGAGGAATGGGTTTGAGAGGCAGAGAATCAGGAGCTCTGCTGTGGGACTTGAGTCACCATGATTAACACTGGCATCCTAGCAGGCACCATGGACGATCCTACTAGGTGTCAGACACACAGACATACAGACACAAGCACACAGGCACACTGACACCCCGATACCCCAACAGTGATCAAGCATATAAGGAAGGTCCTATCTTTTTTCTCACTTGATCCAATAGTCACTAAGATAAGAAGGAAATCAGGTCTTACTAGAAAATTACTCTGAGACAGTTAGCCTGTTACTGTTTTTGGTATCTGATAAGTGAACTATGTTGTATATACAAAGATGCTCATTTGTCTCATTACTGGTATTCCAGAAGCAATAAAAGCAATAAAGGGAAAAAATCCAAAAATGTACCCATAGTTTTTTAGTGTGAATACTTTATGGTATACACACCCATGCCAGTTATCAACAGTGTGCACACTATCAAAGCATGTATAGTTAAAGTTGCCGATGTTAATATGTCCATGCCATTCAGCTTTTGACACAGAGCAAAGTGAAAAATTATACCTATGCACAGACATCATCTATATAAGAAAGGAAATTATGCCAAAAAAAAAAACCAAAAAACTAAGACTGTAAAGAAATGCATCTTTATGTTCAGAGTTAAACCTCTGGATTATTTCTTAGCATCTTTCTTTATAAAATTCAGCATTTCAGTGTAGTGTAGAACACAAGCTTGCCCTGGAGTTGCAGCCCTGTTCTGACTGTCATGCATTTTTGAGCTCTTGGCTAGGAATTCACTTCCCTGGCTCTGATTTTCTTTCTTTATAAAATAAGTGTAGTGATAATGTGTCTAACATGCTATGAGGGTTAAAACAACAAATGCATATTCAGCTTGTTTACCATGGTAGAGAACATTACAGTTGTGTCTTAGTATTTAAAAAAAAAAAAAAAAAAGTCGGAGTGGCCAGAGTAAAAACCCAGGAAACACAAGGAGAGCTGGATTTTATTGACCAAGGGTGAAGTTGGATCCAGACCACTCTGGTGCTGATTGAGGGTTCTGGCAGGGCTGACCTGCCCTATCTCCTTTCACAAACAAACTATGGCTGGAGTAAAACTCCACATTGGCCATCTGTGTTGCTTCACAGCCACATTCTCCCTTTTTACCCCACCAGGCTCCATTTTCAGCTTTTCTTTCTCTTTGATGTAGATAAAAATCTGACTGGAGCAACCAAATGTTCTGGAGTGTGAGATTTTAGTAACAGGCTCCTGTCTGTATTGTTGAAAACTCTCAACCAGGTTTGAGGAGGAGACCAGCGTGTGGTCAGAGACACCTGGGTGAAGGGGCCTGGGTTCTCCCTGATGCTAAGCAAACAGCTAGACAGAGCCCTGGCTGGGACATTTGCATTGGAAATAGGGGCTGGTCTGGCTTCACTCAAGTGTTTCCCTTCACTCCCTTCCTCTCCCCTCCCCTCCCCTTCCCAGAGCATGTACCCCATTTGATTAACAGGTTAAACATCATTCACTCAGAGATCATTTCTTGGGCCCCATATAATCCCAAGAACTCCTGTTATCCATTCCCATTCCTGCAATACCATATATTTCTCTAGTGCAAGATGGATCTTGTTTTAAAAAGACTGGTTTAATATTGGCTTTGCCAACTCAG